TGCCTTTATCCTGGTTACTGAACATTGTCTTATCATGAGAATGGACCATAAAATAATTTTTGACAATGTTGAACCGTCATCTATGACTTTGTTTGATCTCCTTGAACCTAGATCTTTGGATCTCCGGTCTTCTAGGTAGAGTTACCGCCACGATGACTTGTTCTCGACCATAGTCCCATCTTGTCGATGATCTCTCAACTCCCTCTCTAGTTAGGTCTTTTATAAGTGGATCCGACATATTATCCTTTCACTTTACATAGTCAATTGTGATAATTCCACTAGAGAGTAATTGTCTAACAGAGTTGTGTCTCCTTCGTATGTGTCGAGAGTTGTTGTTATACATAACACTTCCACCCCTTCCTATTGCAACTTGACTATCACAGTGTATGCATATATGGGCCATTGGTTTGGGCCAAAACAGAATATATTTTAAGAAATTCTAGAGCCATTCGACTTCTTCACCTTCCTTGTCTAAGGCTATGAATTCAGACTCCATTGTAGAGCAAGCTATGCATGTTTGTTTGGATGATTTCCAAGATATTTCTCCTCCACTAATAGTGAAAACATATCCACTTGCGGATTTCGTTTCAGTTGACCCAGTAATCCAATTTGCATCACTATATCCTTCAACAACTGCTGGATATTTGTTTTAATGCAAAGCATAGTTTTGAGTGTCATCTAAGTACTCCAAAACCCTCTTCATTGCCATCCAATGATTTTGATTGGGATTACTTGTGTAACGACTTAGTTTACTTATAGCGCACACTATGTATGGTCGTGTACAATTCATGACATGCATCAAACTTCCCAATACTCTGGCATAATCTAATTGATACTGACTTTTACCTTTATTCTTAGCAAGATCAAGGTTCACATCAATTGAGGTCTTTGCCCTTTTGAAATTCAAGTACTTGAACTTTTCAAGTACCTTTCGAATATAATGAGATTGAGACAATGCTAGCCCGTGAGGAGTTTTATGAATCTTAATTCTCAATATCAAAACAACAACTCCTAGATCTTTCATATCAAACTTACTAGCGAGCATACACTTAGTAGCTTTTACATTATTAATGTCCTTGCTTATTATCAACACGTCATCCACATATAGGCATACAATGACCTTCTGATTTGGAATGTATTTAATGTAGACACATTTGTCACATTCATTGATCTTAAATCCATTTGCCAACATAGTTTGATCAAACTTTGCATGCCATTGTTTGGTGCTTGTTTTAGTCCATAAAGTGACTTAACAAGTTTGCATACTTTCTTTTCTTTAGCAGGAACTACGAAGCCCTCAGGCTGTTCCATGTAAATCTCTTCCTCCAGCTCTCCATTTAAGAAGGCGGTTTTCACATCCATTTGATGGATTTCAAGACTGTATACTGCAGCTAGGGCAATTAACATCCGAATTGATGTAATCTTAGTCACTGGGCGAGTATGTGTCAAAATAATCAGGACCCTCTTTCTGTCTAAATCCTTTGACAACAAGTCTTGCTTTATATTTGTCAATAGTTCCATCATGTTTCATCTTCCTTTTGAAAATCCATTTCGAACCCAAGGGTTTATTTCCTAGAGGAAGATCAACCAACTCCCAAGTATGAATGCTTAAGATTGATTCAATCTCACTATTGACAGTCTCCTTCCAAGAGGTTGAGTCGGTAGACAACATAGCTTCCTTGAATTTTTTAGGCTCGCTTTCAAGAAGGAACGTTACAAAGTCATATCCAAATGAAGTAGTTGTCCTTTGACGTTTACTGTGCCTTGGGCTCTCTTCATTAGGTACATTCTCTTTTGGTTCTTCTCGAGGTTGTCTAGACCCCCCACTAGATGGCTCAAGTCTAGTTTTATACGGATATATATGTTCAAAGAATTCAGCATTATTTGATTCCATTACCGTATTGTCATGAATATCCGGATGTTCGGACTTATGAACCAAAAATCGACATGCCTTACTGTTTGTGGCATATTCAATGAATACACAATCCACAGTCTTTGGTCCTATTTTGACCCTGTTAAGTCTTAGGTATAGGAACCTGGACTTTGGCAAGACACCCCCACACTTTGAAATATTTCAAGAATGAGATGTATGTAGGAAAAGATTACCTCATTGAGGGCCTATTCAAACTCAATGTAATTGCAGTTGTTATGAATAAAGATTTCAACATACAAATGTTGATCCGTTGCTAAAAGGCTCGATAGTAAATTTTGCCAACCAATTTTATATCGTTGGTAACATTACCAAGTTACCAACTAAAATTCTGTTTGTAAATGACAAAATAAATTGTTGGCAATTTTCGAATCTTGTCAACAAGACTTCCGTTGATAAATTTACTAACTAAAATTCGGTTGGAATTCCATTAGTAACTTTACTAACAAACAGAAAATAAGTTAGTAAATTTGGTTCTTTAATATACAAATTTTGTTTGTAATCGGTTGGTAATTATAGTAACGAAAAAAGTGTCATTGGCATTCCGTTAGCAACTATACTAGTACATACCAACTTGGTTTGTATATCCGATAGTATTATTTCAAAATACATTGCTAATCAGTTAGTAAATTTAATTACGGAAAAGATTTGTCTGAAATTTACCAAGAAATTTCAAATTCATATGTAAGATGGTTACTATTACGTTAGTAATTTGTTAGTAACAAAAAAAACTTCCATTAGTAATTCGTTACAAAGCTTATTATCATAGAATCTGTTAGAAAATACTACTGATCGACTAGTAATTCAATATCAAAATTGTCATTTTTAATATCCATAATTTAAATCTTCGAAAAAAGATAAAAAAGAAACAAAAAGCAGTAGATATTTTATAACAATAACATCCATATGAAGTTAAAATAAACCATCCAAACTGTATCAAATGTAAACGACTCTAAAATAAACTAAATAAGACTCTTGTCATTATTTCACGAGTCACGTTTACGAGAAGGAGGTGTAGGTAAGCCAGCTATGATGCGTGACATACGTTCTTGGAGTATTTGATCAACTTGCTCATGCACCTCTTGTTGCACTCCCTGTCCCATTTCTTCACGCAATTCTTGTTCCATTTCGACTCCCATTTCTTGTCTAATCTCTTCCCTGATCTCTGATCTCATCTCATTCTTCATCTCTTCCTTCATTGTTTGCATTCGTTGTCCGACACATTCATTCACCCGAGCATTGAAGTCAATATTTGGAGGTCGAGATGTTGAAGCAGAGGATGAACCAACATGTCCGTAGAAAGGTGCTTGATAACCAAGACCATAAATGTGCTTCTTCTTAACCCCTCCAACTTCATCCAAATAAATTTGTGAGAAATCAACTGATGGTGACACACTGGCTCCATTTTCAGGTTGAGATGCAGATGCAATCTCAGACATAATTGCATCCTGAAAGAAACAAAATATGATATAAATGCTATAAAAATATTTTTGAAAGAAAAACCATCATGAAACAGCTGAATACACTAAATGAGAATGCTAAGAAGGGCTTATAATACTTTATATCATGCCAAAACAGTGACTATTGGTCTGTCTGATTCATTCTATTACACTTAATTCTCAATAAAAACTTCATTCTCCTTTCAAAGCACACCCACTCACCAAAACAGTTATTATGTTTTACATAATCAAGAACCAACACTCAATAAAATAATATACAGTACCTTACTCAACAACAAAACGAGTTATCACTAAAAACTTAGTAACGATTCAAGATAATGAGGAGCAATCTTTTGGCATTTGAATTCATTATTATGCAACAATAATATACCCAATGTAATCCCACAAGTATGGTATGAGAAGGGTAGTGTGTATGCAAATCTTACCTATACCTTATGAGGTAAAGAGGTTTTTTTTGATAGACCATCGGTAAAAACAATATAAAGAAGTTCAAATAAGGAAACCAGCGAGACAGAAAAAGCGATAAAATGTTAATTCATTATCATACATTTCATTTTATTTGTTTCTAGTTTCTTGATTAGATTAGGAGAAATCCTGAGGGATAATATAAGCCAAAAGTTTAAACACAAATCTAAGAATATAATTAAGAATGTTTATGTCACTTTCATATGTGTTCTCGGACTTCTGGTCTACAAACTCATTGTTAGCCTTGACATGTGTCTTCCTTAGAAGCTCATGTGGATGAGGCGGTCTTCCTAGTAGTTTAGCCTAAAATTGAAATCAGATTTACCACAGTAAGTACACAGGTAGTAGCTTTAGAGAAATTACAACTTTGGCTAAATAAAAATCAAAATACCAATTGTCTTGCATGTTCTCGGTGAGTTCTGGAGCCTCCTGTATGGCGTGAGGGGCCAGATCCTTCGCCACCTTTCTCCCTTAGGCGATTTTTTGAGCATTGTGCGGACTTGGCTTTGAATTCCTCTGTCTCCCAATGAGGCTCCCAGCTTTCCCAAATAGATACCGGGATATTTTTGCGCTACTTCTCACAACCCCTTGCTTCAGATAACATATATACCACTGTATCGTTCTGCACATTTTCTCATAAATGTATCCTTTATGGCACCTTCAATTGTAGTATCCCATTGAAATCGTTTCTATAAAAGAAAAATAATACATGACACCGATACAACATAAATTTTAAGCATACAATCGTTTAATTATTATAACTTTACCTTAAATTCCTCCCAATAGAAGTCCTTTGTCTCTGGTGTAACAGACTTCCAATCATGTCCTTCACGATCCAGCTTCTTCTTGAGGATTTTTGTGACTGCCCGAGATACATTATTGCTTGGTTCCATGCTTGAATAAGTAACAAACATTATAATTTAACACCATCAAGTCAGGTAAAAGATAACACAACCAGAAAAAATAAATTAGGCAGGTTAATGCTTCTGTTAACTTTTGTTACTCTTTACACAAACATGAACAGAGCAACAATAACAACAGTAAACTGAATAGAGTATCAACACAAAATTGCAGAATGTACAGACTCCATAAGCTGTGTACAAAGTATGTGACCCATAGAGAACAAGATGTAGAAATAACACTAAGAACAAACTGAAGAGATCAATAGCAACAAGTAATCAGTCCAATCTAATAGATCAAATGATTAATAATGGAGTAGCAAGTAACCAGGAGAGTAGCACTGTGTACACACATGTTCATAATTAGAATGAAACAAGATTCGGAGCATCAACACAAAATTACAGAAAAAATGGGGCAGGACAATTTTGTAGCCGTTCTATAGGTAGAATATACGCATACTGCGTGAACCATCGATCCTCAGGCAACAAATCAATCAAGAAAATTTAACCAAACAGTTAATGATATTAAATGTGAAGTGGACTATCAGAGTCTCCGTAAGCATATATATATATAGACACAACATTGTCCTACCTTATTGAAAAAATAAGAAATTCCCTCTAAAGATGAAGTGATACATAATACAAGAATGAAACAAAAATGAACAAAAAACTGTAAATGGAAGGGTACTTGTACTCTTACACTCCAAGAATGACTTCAATTGGGATAGGAGTAGCATAATTTGTGTTTGAAGAATTTGTTGATATGATTTAATCTCTAGATGTATCAAGTGCGGAAGCTGATGATGGTATGGATCTATTGACTTCTACGACTGAATGTGGAATTTATGGTGCCGATGATTCAAGTGATAGTGATGCTTGATTAGGTGTGGAACTCAACATAGGAGGAGATCTCTGGGGATCTGCTTACTGTTTTCCAGAATATCTACCTGGTCCACCTCCCCTGGGTGCCATACTTGTGACTTCAAATATACAAGTACATACACAAATAACATGACTAATGAATCATGATCCAATATAGTTATAACATGAATAATTAATTAACTAATATATCAGTCAAAGTACAAGAATGGATCTGAAAAGTTATGGAATTCATGTGTTAGCTAGACAAAGAAATTAAAAGATGAACACTTGAAGAGGAACAAATTTATTTCATCACTATTTCTTAATGTAGTTCCAGAGTCAGCTACTTTTCTGATAAAAATGAGAGTGAGGGATACTCGTTCAAATAGACAGCCTGAAAACTATTAAAAACAAATACTTAAATAGGTCACAAAGAAATCTAAAATCAACATGATCTAAAATTCAAGAACTTTTCCAGGAAAATATAAAATTTAACAGAAATAAAATAACTTATTAGACTACGTTTCAATCGCTCTACCTCTTATATTTGAAGAGATTGAAGAACTTTGAATCTATTCACTGTCACTAGCATCATATGCTTCGTCATCCTCATTATCATCATCTTCATCTGATTCAGATTCATCATGAATTTCTTCCTCATCATCGTCTCTTAAGTTTATAAATTCTCCATTTGGATCATTCCCTACAAATGTTTCATTGTCAGATACCACATCAAATATTAAACCATCTTCATTACATTGGAATGGCTCTATATTATCAGCAGGAGGTGACCGTGGAGATGATGAAGGCATATTCATAATACCTCGAGCTTTTATTTTGCACACAGCCCACCAGTAAGCCTTATCACGTCGTAAACTAGGATAAGAGGTATAATACACTTGAGTTGCTTGCATTGCCAAAACAAATGGTTCATACTGATATCCACAAGTTTATATTGCGGGTGGATCTTCATTCCTGCTTTTGGTGTGGGATCAAATCATTCACACTTAAATAAAACCGTTCTCTTTATCGGTGTACTATCCTTGTACTCCAATTCAAGGATATCAGTAATCGCACCATAGTAGTCATAGTCATCTGCATTGTAATTGGTTCCTTTTATGCATACGCCGTTGTTATTGGATGATCTAGAAGAACTACGACTTTTAGTGTGAAACTTAAAGCCATTAACATTATAACTAGTGAATGGATTTACTGATCGACGTGGACCGTCTGCAAGGGCTTTGACGAATTGATTATCTATGTGGACTCGTGCCTATTAAATAAAAATAATTAGAGCTTCTCATGACTAAGATAAGTAATATTGGAAATATATAGTACAAATACTCACATATCTTTTGAACCATGATGCGAAATCTTCATCAAGTTTCATATCCACTTCCTTCTTCGTAATTTGTGGAAAATTTCGACGAAGGGAATCAATAAAATTCCTTTGGATCACAGGAAATCAATTTTTATGTACGTTTTTCTTATAATTTTAATGTATAAATGAAAACAAAAGCTTCAAATCTTACTTCACATATGGTTGTACTTCTACGCAATTTAATAAAATATAAATATGAGTCGCATCAAGTTCTTCTTCTGTGAGATATATTGGACCTTGCTCCCCGAATCCTTTACGTGGATAGGTGAATATAGAAAGATTACCACTGTGGTCACCATGTTCAGATGTACCACCATCATCATTCTGTGACACTTTTCTATGCCTCGTATAAACATGAGGTTTGAAGTAGTGCGAGCAAAAAGATGAAGCTTCCTCAACTAAATGTGCATTGCATATGCATCCTTCAACATGTCTCTTATTTCAAATAGAGTGCATAAAATTTTGAAGGTTTCTGAAAATATCAGATACGCTCAAGTCATTATTCACTCATGATGATGAAAATAAAGTACTTTATAATATATTAATGAATTCTTACCTCTCAAATGGACACATCATCGGTATTACAGTGGAACTACTAACATTGCTTCATAAGCGAGATGTACAGGGAGATGCTCCATTGAATCAAAGAAGCTAGGAGGGAATATGCGCTTCAATTTACAAAGTATTTCAGGTATTTCTTTATGGAGTCTTCTCATATCTTCTTCTCAAATTACTGTAGAAGTGAGATCTCTAAAGAAAAGGCTCATCTCAGTAAGTGCTTCCTAGACTTTTGTTGGTAATAGCTCACGAAATGCAATAGGGATCAATCTTTGCATGAATACATGACAATCGTGGCTTTTCATGCCAAACAACTTATGATTATTCATGTCCACACACCGTTCCATATTGGAGACATATCCATCCGGAAATTTAAGATTTTTCACCCATTCACACAAAACTTTTTTTGACTCCTTGTTTAGTGTGTAAATAGTTTTTGGATATTTGCCACCAACAACATGTAATTCAGGGTGTCGACAGAACTCTTTCAGGTCTTCTCTAGATTTGGGGTTATCTTTTGTTTTTCCATCGACATCCAACACGGTGTTGAACACATTCTCAAAGAAGTTTTTCTCAATGTGCATCACATTTAGATTATGCTGAATGAAATTTGTACTCCAATACGGCAAATCCCAAAATATGTTTTTTTTCTTCCAACCAGATACTTACTAATTTGATGATTAACAATATTAGCCCCAAGTTATGTTACCTTTTTTAGTACTAATTCTTCTATTTCCTTCAAAACATCAGCACCTAATTACCTTACTGGTGTGGCATGAATTGTGATTACTTTGTTCTTTCTAAATGTGTTCTTATCCTTTCTGTATGGGTGATACCGCGATAGGAACTTACGATGATTGTCAAACCAAGATTTCTTGCCACCTTTTGTCAATGTAAAGGCATTTGAATGCTTTATGCAATATGGACATGCTAACCTGCCAGAAGTACTCCATCCAGATAGCATTGAATATGCAGGAAAGTCACTGATTGTCCACATCAAAGCAACTCTCATTTTGAAATTTTTCTTCTTAGAGATATCATATGTATTGACACCTATATTCCATAAATTCTTTAGTTCATCAATGAGAGGCTGCAAGAAAACATCCAGTTGTTGCTTAGGGTTCTGCGGACCAGGAACTATAATAGATAAAAATAAATAGGGCTCTTTCATGCATATCCAAGGAGGCAAGTTATATGGTGTCACAATTACTGGCCAAGGTGAATATTTTTTTCCTGTTTGTCCAAATGGTTGAAACCCATTTGTGCTTTTCCCCAATCTAACATTACGACTTTCCATTGCAAAAGATGGATGCATCCTATCAAAGTGTTTCCATGCAGGAGCAGTGTTGCATCACACCTTCCTCAACTTCATGCTCGGCGTGCCATCGCATGTGTGAGGCAGTCGCTTCAGAAGCATATAGTCGTTGCAACCGTGGAGTAAGAGGAAAGTAATACATCTATTTGAATGGTATAAGATTTCTCTTTGAATTAGAACCTTGACCACTAGTCTTGTATCTGGGATGACTACAAAACTTGCAATACAAAAGTTCACTGTCCACTCCCCAATAAATCATGCACGCATTAGTACAACTATGAATTTTTTCTACTGGCATGTTCATTCCCCACATCAACTTCTTAGTTTCATAGAAATTTTTGGACATCAGGTATCGGCGGAATTAGCGCATTCAAAAATTGAAAAATGTCATCAAAACATCTTTCAGAGAGGTGGTGTTCAGTCTTGATGAAACATGAAACAACTGATAATTGAGAATGTGTTTCACAACCAGGCCACACTTCTTGATTCGCAGCATCAATCATATCATAAAATTTATGTGCATCAGGGTTAGGTAATTCATCCCGATCATTCAGATCTAATGAGGGACCAACAGCCTCCTGAACCATTCTATGATATGAAGTAGATGGTCCACTCTCATCATATGCATCAACAGTAACTGGTGAGTTATTCATAGTATGATCCAAATTGTGCATCCTTTCATGTTCATCTGTACTTGTAACCTCACTTTCTCCATGCAAGTACCAAACATGATATCTCAAGACAAAACCATTACCCAACAAATGTCCATGGACTGCATGAACATCTTCAAAGTTTCTATTCTAACATATCTTTCGGTTGCATGGGAACATTAGTCTCTCACCATCCCTCCCTTCAGGATGATTCATTGTGAACTCAAGA